GGCAATGCATCATTCGAACCTGGACTTCGCTACTATCTACAGTGGGTATGCTGAAGGCTTGAGCACAGAGGACATCCAATCGATCGGGGAGAGCTTGCTGCCGAACGCAAGGTCGGTGGCAGAGCAAGTCTCTGTTCAGTGGGTGATGGATGTCCACCGTGAAGACATGGCCAGAAGCGTGTGTCAGGAGGACGTTGCCCAGCCTATGGATGGCATGGAGCCTGGGTCAGAGGTGGACATCGCCCCGGCTTCGACCGAGCCAAATGTCGTCCCACCGGTGAGTGAGCAGCCTGCGCCTTCGCCGGTCGCACCGACAGCAGATGCCGCCGAGCCAGCCCAATAGCTTGTAAAATATAAGTAGTTTAGTAAACGTAAAGAGTTTAGGTTTGTGGGGGAGCCCCCGTGTAAATGTTCTTGTGTACATAATGACTACAATCGGTTTTGTTTTTGTGATGGAGTCACTCCGTTCGGGGAAGCTTGTCCCTTTCGTTCCTTAGTTTTTCCTTAGCATGATTTTGTTTTTATTCTTTCTTTCTCGTACTTGCCTGTTTGTCCCGTAGGCTGCAACCTTGGGAGCCCGGGGTAAGGCCCGCGAGGCTCAGCTACTCGTAACCGTAGGTGAAGGCGGGGTGCGATCGGTCGGAATGTTTTAAAGCAAAGCTACGTAAGGCAAATTAAAGGAACGAACTACCCTTTTGTTTGGGTAGGAAGGAGTTTCACCATATGATAGTAAACAAAAAAGAGAGGTAATAGTGTACCCTAGTGGAGCCCTAGAGCGCCCCGAGCCAAAAAGTGTTCGGGTCAGGGTGCTCTTATAGGAGCAAACGCTAAGTAAACAATGGTAAGACTGAATTTTAGGGGAAGAAAAATGACATAGCTGTTCCAAGCGTTCGGTGAGAATGTCATCATTGTTGTCCTTCAGTCGGTAGGTGTCCGGTCGGATCACTTCAATCTTCAGTCGTCCGGATCCTTGCCCGCTACACCCCCTTTCTCAGTCGCTGCTTCTTCGCCTTTTTCTTCCTTTGGCCCGCCGGCCTGCCGCAGAAGGCGCTTGAGGAGCTGGCAGTCCTTGTAGAGGTGTTTGACGGGGTAGTCATGGTTGGTGCACGGGATCTCCATGAGCTCATGGAAGTGGCCCGGAGGGTCCTGCTGGGGTTGCGTGCCCGTGTGATCAGTCATGGGGACCAACGCAGAGCTGGCCGGTCGGTGGTGATCTTTTATGTTCTTTTTCCCCCTCTATGTGGAGGGGCCCTCGTCCTGATCCTGGTGCTTGGCCTTGCCTTTGCCCCGGCCTCCATTGGAGCGCGGCGGGAGCGGCGCTTGCTGGAGGTGTTGGACAAAGGTCTGTGGTCCCAAACCATCAGGGCTGGGACTCCGGTCGCTGCTGCGTGTGTCTCGGTTCGGCCCAAGCCGCGCGTATACAGGCGGTCGGTGCGGAGCGGTCGTCAAGTCAAGACGAGGTGCCAATGCGGCCTCCAATGCCGCGCTCGGCGGTTGTAGTGGTGATCTGGTGGAGCGACCCATCTGCTGCGTCCCCATTCCCCTGGTGGGGAGTGAGGCCGCGAGTCGGCGCCGCGATATGGAGCTCTCCGCTTGTTGAACAACGGCGGTCTCCACTAGTGCCCAGAGGTTCCGGTGGATCACCTGTTCATGAGGGTCGTTTTGCTCGGACAGGCCGCACAGAAGCATTGCCGCAGTGGTGATGTTCTGATTGGCCTGAGCGAACTGTGGGGGATCCTTCCCCCTGTCCATGGTGTTGTGTTGGACCCAACAGGTGCGACCCCGAGCGCCGCTCGCCGGTTTATGTGCACGGGGCGCAGTGTGGTGCGCCGAGCGCACTGGTGCAGCCACTGTTGTCGTAGTGCCTCGCCGTGCTCCCGTGTGAGCTCGGGGGTCTCTACACAAGGATCCGGAGGGGCATGTGTCTACAAGGACTCTGTTTCCACCGGTGGCTGTCCTGGAGCGTCCGCCATAGCGCACTCCCGGGATGGTCGGTGGCTAGGCGCCATATCGCCGATGCTGGAGCCGTCACTCTCAACATCATCATCCATGAGGTCGAGGAAACAGGTGGGAGCATAACTCGCCATCCCCACGAATTCGGACGCGAGAGGGGGCGGCACCAGCATCCTTCAGAGCCCCCGGGCGTACACGTCCGCGGGAGACGTGAGGCCGTAGGGGAACCGGTCGTATGGCGGTCGTGTCGGGGACAACGGGGTCCCTCTGGGTAATCGGCGGAAGATAGAGAATATTAAGTAAATAACAGCATGTACATTACTCACAGCGGGGTTTGAGCAGAGAGTTTGCTCAGAATGAAGCGCAGATGTCACGTCGTCAAAGTCGTGCGTCCCGGAGTCAATAGAGGGCGCCCCTCCGACGGGTGCCAGAACGAGTGCCTCCTCGCGGAGGTGTAGTACGCCGAGCCGATCGGTGACGAAGTCTAGGCTTCCAAAGAGGAAGGCCTGGAATGGCTCAAAGACGGGTGGAACCCACATCCCAATAGGTGAGAGTGCGGGAAACTCCAGCGAGCCGAAGTGAATCGTATGGCCTGAGCCCGCCACGGCGAGGGTGGCAGAAAAGTGGGCCATCTGATGACCAAAAAGTGTTGAACGTACAACGTCCTCCCCACGAACGGCGCCAACTGTCGGTGCAGAAAGTGACCAACAAGTAAATATTTGTAGTTTTAACGTACGTTGTGATCGGAGGTGGCCTAGCACTCAATGACACAGGGTTTATACTGGTTCAGGCAATGTGCCCTACGTCCAGTTTGAGTCGGTCGGTGACTTTATTCTTGAGCCCAGGTGCTCGAAGTTTGCAGTGGGGTTACAAACGAAAAGGAGAAAGATGGGGAGTACAAAAGGTCCGGTCGGCTCCAGTCGGAAGGGCTAAGAGCGACAGGGGCTTCGCTATGAGCTAAGTGTTCAAGCGAGTGCTTGAGGTCCGAACCTGGCGGTTCTGTGGTTGTGAGCTAGTGAACTTGATCGATTTGGGTTAACTTATCAACTTGAATCAACTGAGTTTCTTGGGAGAGAGTGCATCCCCTTTTATAGATGAAGGGGATGGCCTTACAAGTGAGAGGGAGGGAGTACGCATGCTTCTAAGCCTTGCTGCTCACGCCGGCAGGTACAGGATGATGGTAGGCGCCCACAATACTGTTGGTTGTCAGATGCACATGGGAGGTCACGTCGTCTTGTTCAGGTATGGCAGATGTCGGTACCTGCAATACTGTTGATGCCCAAAGGCATGTGAGGGCTTTTACCATGTTCTCCAGGTACGATAAATGTCGGCGCCCACAACACTGTCGATGCCCAGAGACATGTGGGGGGCCTTATCGTATGGGAGTTAATGGCGCCCACAATACTGTAGGTAAAAAGTCGGCGCCTACAACACTGTTCGTGTCAGGGCGGTTGCAGAGTACTGTTCCTGCAGGTGTATAGGGTACGGTCCCTGGTATCATGGTTTGACTTGTGCGCCTTGCCCTGCTCTTCTCCATTTGTTCCCTGGTCCTTTCCGGGCGGGCGTCCCCGATCGGTTGGTCCTAGTTGGCTCTGATTGCGCCAGTCGAAGAAGAGCAGCGCGCAGGGTCTTTGCATCCCCCGGTCGGAGACGTGGGGTTAGAGTCGGAGGTAGTGCTTTGCCAGGCCTTCCGGTCGGAGAGACCGTTTGGAGGGGCTGGAGGCCGAAGTGAGCGCTCCGGTTGGAGAGGTGAGCCGGAGTCGACAAACGGCGCTGCTCCTCCTCGGCCAAACCTTCCTGTCGGTGACTGGATCGCCCTTTTGGCCTGTTGTTTAGACTCTTGGGCCGGCTCGTGAGTTGCGTGCTATCTACTTGAGCCGAGCCTTTGCGGGGAAGCCGGTCCACGAGGGACCCCAGGTTTATGAACCCGACAAGACCTGTGCAGCGATCGGGTCCAATAGGCCTGCTCGGCTCCACCATCAGCACAGTTTCTCTAAAAAGAAAAAAAGGCTAGCGACATTTCCTTTCCCCACCACTGCACGCATGCGATCCTTTCCCCACCGCCGCAAGCATGCGACCACCGCGAGCTCCTCCATCGTGCCGCACGCATGCAACCGACACGGGAGCCTCCATCGTGGGGTCCGCTTGCCGCGGCCTTCTCCAGCGTGGCGGCGCCGCACCCAGCCCCATCGCGCTCTGCTACCGCGCCCCGAGTCCCTTCCATTGCTCCTGCCGCCCGCCCCGCCTGCTCCTGCTCCGCCGTCGCTGCTCCGCCACCCGTCCCGCTGCTCCTACCCTGCCCGCCCCGCCCGATGACACTGACAGTCGCTGCCAGTGCAAGGAGAAGCACCGGGCCCTGGCGCGGAAGCCCTTCGAGCTCGCTTCCTACTACGGCTGTGGCGCCCCGATGCAGACGACGGAGGATGCCGCACCAGGATACGATGCATGTTGTAAGCGCACATTTCAAATATTTCAGATGTTTTAGAGGTATTTTTCAATTGTTTCATACGGATGTTGCAAAACTAGATTGGGATGTTGCATATATTGCAAGCGTCTGTCCCCAATGTTTCATCTGTTTTTTAGACGTATGTGCCGGTGTGTTTATTTGGATGTTGCATATGTTTCACACATATGTTGCAAATGTTTTATCTGGACGTTGCGTAAGTGTTTTTGCAAGTGTTTCAAATGCATGTCAAATGTTTCATCTGTCTTTTTGTATTTTGCAAGTGTTGCATCTATATGTTTCAAAAATAAATCGGGTGTTACATATAGGATGAAGTGGGAGTCGGCGTGAGCGGTCCCCACATACGCTCGGCGTGGGTGAGCAACGTCCGGACAGCGCAGGACCACGCATGGACGCGCGAAAATGGACTGCCGCCGCGGGCGCTGGGACTCTAGCAGTACCCTTTTTTTTATAACGGGTACCTGAAGCTATAGGTATCCAAGCTTTCTTTCATTTTGGTTTCTATGACTTTTGTATGCTTTTAAAGAAAACAGATATATTTCTCTTGTGTAAACCAAAAAAATCTCAAGAGGTACAAATGATGTCACAGGAACACTCGTAATGCAGTGTTGAAAATATGGTCAGCTAATATCCTGTATGTCTGCTCCGACGGGTGAACTGAATCGAAGAACACGTACTTATCAGCGTCTTGACACGTAAACGGTTCGTCCAAGCCGCACATCACAGATGTCTCGATGAGTCCTGTGCCACAGCAGCCTTGCTCAACGTTGTCGAATCCTGCAGGTCATCGATCGCAAAGAAAACCCCCGAGTGTGATTCTAGAGCTGATCCAATGCAAGAATCAGTGTATGTTGTGAGAACTGAAGATAAGATTTTGGTTCACTAACCGTAGTCCGACGGATTGGCGACGATGTCAGACACGACGCCGTACGTCTCCGCGAAAACCACCCGCGCGCCGGCGAGCTCACCGTCGAGCCTCCTCACGACCTCCTGCAGCCCGGCGTTGAACATCTCCGCCAGGCGGTTGTACTCCTCGTTGCACTCGCCGGGCTCGTCTTGGTTGAGCGTCCTGGCCGCGGGGATGCACCCGAACGGCGCGAGGCCGGTGAACTCCATCTTGCGCGCGCCGAGGCCGTAGGCGTCGCGGACGGCCGCCTCTGCGAGGCCGACGAGGTAGGCGACGTACTCCGGCGGGGTGTACTGGTCTCGCCGGAGAGGCACGGTGAAGTAGTTGACGATGAAGTCGTTGGTGCCAATGCTGAAGATGTACACGGCCTCGGCGATGGTCTCGTTCGCCGTGGATTCCCCCTTTGCGAGCTGCAGTCTCGCCTTGTACTCCCTGAAGTACTCCAGTTGCTGGCTCATGGGGATAACTGACTGGAATAGATTCGAACAGGTTTCGAACAACAAAGTAAGTTGCTGAATACTACTTACTGTAGAAGATTATTTTAGGGTTACCAAAAAAAATATGTTATGGCCAAATTTTAGGTACCAAATTGGTGCCCAAGGGTTTTTTTTTTTGGCAACATTGGTCACCAAATAAAAGGTGGCTATCAAGCAAATATTTGGCATCCAACTAAATGAAGGACATTTTTTTAAAAAAGTAGGAAACATAGTTTTTGGCATTCTTAGAGCAATTATAAGAAATTATGTAAATTTGACAATTGAAAAATAAGTAAATCAGCTCTCCAAATCAATTTAGCCACTCAAAAGTGTTAGTTACCGCAGATCATCTAAAACCAGTCCCCTCCTGTATTTTGAACATGGCACGTCATCAGTTGTATAGCAGTGAGAGGATGCACGGTTGGCAGACGTACGCGACGATGGCACGAAGCATAAAGGGGCTGCAATCATAGGCATCGAACGTGGCGTGGCACTGGCCCCCGGCTACGGCGGAGGGACGCCGACTGCTCTGGGCAACTTCATTAGTTGCACGAGCTCGATTAGCTTTGCAGTTTGTCGCCTGCTATGCCACTTGGGCCGGGAGCTAGAACACGATCTAATAAGGTTCAAGGGTTAATTAATTGGATCGGTTTCATACTTCCATTACAATTTTCTTAGACGGAGGACATACTATTGCAATTTATCTATTTCGAATTTTGCCATTATAATTCTTGTCCTAACTGAACTATGCCACATTCTACGTCTTTTATGCCCTTAGACCCAATTGTAGGATGAAGTACGCAAACGGTCATTTTCTATCGACCAAACTACCCATGCTTTTTACTCACTTACAAGTAGGCTCCACACATCATCCCCTTCCCCCAATCTGTCTTCCCCCTTGCTCTCTCCCCAATACGTTTAAACGCAACACACTGGCTATTGTCGTCATCAACCACTCTTCGTTCATGCGATCGCTCGTCTGCCCAGCTTGCATGTGTTTGGCCAACGCCGCCGACGTCCGCATTGAGGGAGGCGAGCTCGGGCCGCCCATGGTCGGCGACCGCCCGCACTGCTCGACATCTCCTTGCCTTCCTTCGTCGCCGACTCCCTCTTACTCCCCCCTCCGCCAACCATGGTACCCGCCGATGCCTACCCGTGTGCAATTAATGCCTCCACTACCAGCTCCACAAATCTGAGGGCAGCGAAGTCGGCTCAGCGGGGCGGTGGGCGTTGTTGTGGACGCGGGGTGGGAGGTATGCAACTACGTGCATGGGTGCAGGAGTAGGGCCTGTGGTGGTGTGTGGCACGAGTTTGGGCTAGTGGGGCGTGAGGCGACTGGTGCGCGGGCCCGTGGTGTGCAAAGCGATGATGAGTGTCATCGCGGATGTGGGGAGAGGGGGCGTGCGGCTGCGTGAGTGAAGGAGCGGGGCCAATGGTGGGCGAGGAGACGAGCGCGCCGATCGGCGGTGGGTGTGCCAGGCCAACGGTGTCCATCTGGTCATGGGGAGGAAAGGAAGGAGGAAGAAGAGGTTCATACGTCAATGACATGGAGAGACAAGAGTGTGGAGGGGACTTTGGGCAATACGAGAACATGATGACCTGCGTGTGGGTCCAATGTTGTCTAGAACATATAAAGTGGTATATATTAGGGGAAAATATAATAACATAATTCGAAATAGGTGAATTTTAGTTGTGCATCTCCAATCTGTGAAAGTTGTAATGACACCAATAGAATTAACCCGAGGTTAAACTAGGTGTAGCTCCCGGCCTCCTGCTACTCCGTGGTGTTGGCATGGCACCGAGGGACCAAGATACCAAGACGGCGATGGGAAATGCAAGAAAAAACCCTCATCCTCCTGCACGCATGGCCTTGCGGTGGCGGTGGCTATGAAGAGCGTCAGGGAGCATCACGTGAGAAAATACCGTTTGCAGGAGATGGGAGGCACGTGTGGGGAACTCCTACGCCGTCCTGCGAATGGCGAGTGATGATGACTCGCGGATTCTTCCGAGCGAGAATTCTAGGATAGGAACAGAAAAAAAATGAAGAAAGAGAGTTTGTTGAACGCGTTTTCTAGCCTAGAATCGCTAAAGCGAAGTTGGCAGATGGGGATGACACTGAATAATCAACCAACAGCCTGTTCGTTTACTCGTAAACGATCGTAAATTTTCAGCCGGAAACAATATTTTTCTCTCACACCAAACCAGCCAACAGTAAATAATCCACGATACGATACGGCCTCCCGAACAGGCTGCAAACACACCTTATATTATAGTTCTTCAAAAACCTAATAACATGGACCTTATGTGTCTTGTTCATAGGTAGCTTTGGCTACACTTTGTCATGCATGGTTATCATCATCCAGGCACCTTATTTCTTTGCCTAAATTGAACTTTGACTTGGCTCCAATCCAAACATCTTGTACTTTCCTTGGCAAAAAAAATAACATCTTGTACTTTACCAACATTTTGTCATGGCTAAATTTTGGCTTATTTTTATCATATCAACGTGAACCAAAGGTGGCCTAATATAGGGCAGAGTCAAAATAAAGTGACAGAAAACCATCAGTCTTGAGAGAGCAAAAGACGTTGGCTCACTCCTATATATGTAAACTTTGCAAGATCACGAGAAGCAGCAGCATGGGACACCAGGCAATCAAAATAAAGAAAAACATGGCACGTCAGAAGCTATAGAACGAAGTTTCCTTACTGCGATTTCCGCTGTTAAATCATCCAGCCCGGTGCCTCCGGAGGCAAAGCTGACGCCGGTGGCGAGCTGGTCGATGGTGTAGCTGGGGTCCAGATAGGCCGGCACCGACGACGGCAAGCCGAACGCCTCCGAGAGGAAGTCGGTGACGAGGCGGCCGTTGGAGAACCTGCCGGTGGCGACGCCCCGGTCGAAGTCGCGCCCGTACGGCGGGAAGTTGCCCCTGGCGACGGTGGGGATGAAGTTGTTGTTGCCCGCGTCCACCGTCGAGTCCCCGAATACGATCAGCGCCGGCACCTTGCCGCCGCCGCCGACGACGGCCCTGCCGGAGAAATGGAAGACGAGAAGAAGCAGCAGCAGCCTGCAGCACAGGCGGCTGCGGCTTTGAGACGACGACGGCATGGTAGTTGCCTGGTGGGGTGGTTTCTAGCTCTATAGCGAGGCCGAGGCGCGCGCGCACACTGAAACTTAAATAGTGTGCTGTTGGGTGTTGGCTCAGCTGGCTGTATATCGCCATGTTCGCTTTGTTTATAAGTAATATTTTTTTAGCTAATGAACAGTATTTTTCTCTCACGATAAATCAGTCAACAGTACTTTCAGCCATGCCTTATTAGTCAAGCGAATAGGGCAATATATCCATCTCAGGAAGCGTTTGTTCATTAATATTTGCTGGTGGTGGTGCAGTCTTGTTGGCTTATTAAACGTACGTACACGGTACACGTACGTATGATTTGACCTGGAATAGCAAGATAACGCCCCCGAGAGTGAGAGCTGAGCTGAACTATTCTAGCCCTATTCTAGTCTTCTTCATCTAATTTTGAGGCGCTTAACTATACTTTGTTGTGGGTGTATTCATTTTTCCTTGCATCCACCCATAAGCATGAATTTGGTAGCTAGTTTAGCCAGAGCGCCGCTCCTAGGCTCCATCCTCATGCACGGGTTTACGCAATCTGTACTATCTTCCGAGGTCTTCTCTTTGTCGATTGAGTTGGATACAAGTGCGGCCAAACAAATCTAAGACGAGAGGAAATGTTTTGTCAGGAGTAGCATATGAGGTCCTTACTAATCTTGTAATTATTTAGCTTTTGTTATTTTCGGTGAAGTAAACTCTACCACATAAACATTCACCTACACAACCCAACATGCATGGGACGAAGAGAGAACATGCTCTGGTGTTGCAGCCTTTGAACCTGCAGCAGTGATCTTCTACTTAATGAAACAGTGTCACAAGGCGGGCACGTTCGCGAAAAAAAAAACCTGCAGCAGTGATGCTCCGGTCAGTACCGATTCTTGTGTAACCAGTAGTGATGTACCGGAAGTCCCATCAGCTCTCTATTTAGTACTAATTTCAATGATAATTGATAAGAGGGTTGATGGATTCTAAAAGTTGCTCGATTCTGAACTGGCTAGGAACTATCTCCTGGTCATGATTCATGACTATTCTATTTGATTCCATATAATTCTCGCTGTTTAGATGTTGCAGCCTTTGAACCTGCAGCAGTGATCATCTACTCAATGAAACACGTGTCACGAGACGGGCACGTTCGCGAAAAAAAAAACTGCAGCAGTGATGCTCCGGTCAGTACCGATTCTTGTGTAACCAGTAGTGATGTACCGGAAGTCCCATCAGGTCTCTATTTAGTACTAATTTCAATGATAATTGATAAGAGGGTTGATGGATTCTAAAAGTTGCTCGATTCTGAGCTGGCTAGGAACTATCTCCTGGTCATGATTCATGACTATTCTATTTGATTCCATATAATTCTCGCTGTTTAGATGTTGCAGCCTTTGAACCTGCAGCAGTGATCATCTACTCAATGAAACACGTGTCACGAGACGGGCACGTTCGCGAAAAAAAAAACTGCAGCAGTGATGCTCCGGTCAGTACCGATTCTTGTGTAACCAGTAGTGATGTACCGGAAGTCCCATCAGGTCTCTATTTAGTACTAATTTCAATGATAATTGATAAGAGGGTTGATGGATTCTAAAAGTTGCTCGATTCTGAACTTGCTAGGAACTATCTCCTGGTCATGATTCATGACTATTCTATTTGATTCCATATAATTCTCACTGTTTAGATGTTGCAGCCTTTGAACCTGCAGCAGTGATCATCTACTCAATGAAACACGTGTCACGAGACGGGCACGTTCGTGAAAAAAAAAACTGCAGCAGTGATGCTCCGGTCAGTACCGATTCTTGTGTAACCAGTAGTGATGTACCGGAAGTCCCATCAGCTCTCTATTTAGTACTAATTTCGATGATAATTGATAAGAGGGTTGATGGATTCTAAAAGTTGCTCGATTCTGAACTGGCTAGGAACTATCTCCTGGTCATGATTCATGACTATTCTATTTGATTCCATATAATTCTCGCTGTTTAGATGTTGCAGCCTTTGAACCTGCAGCAGTGATCATCTACTCAATGAAACACGTGTCACGAGACGGGCACGTTCGCGAAAAAAAAAACTGCAGCAGTGATGCTCCGGTCAGTACCGATTCTTGTGTAACCAGTAGTGATGTACCGGAAGTCCCATCAGGTCTCTATTTAGTACTAATTTCAATGATAATTGATAAGAGGGTTGATGGATTCTAAAAGTTGCTCGATTCTGAACTTGCTAGGAACTATCTCCTGGTCTTGATTCATGACTATTCTATTTGATTTCATATAATTCTCGCTGTTTAGACGACAACACTATCTAGCTCCAAAATATACCTTTTGGCTATGATTTTCTATTATAACATAAATGGAAAATGAAATATATGTTTTTATTAACTACTTGTAGTGAATAAAGGAAGAAATTATAGCACTTTTAATGAATATACGTATATGAATATATAAGGAATTGTGGTCTAGCTAGACGCTGTTGAATTTTATGAGAGGTCCAGGTCCTGTTGCTAAATTGTTATACACCGGAGTTATCACACGTTATCTTGGTATATTTATATATCCACATCTTTGGAATATATAAGGAATTGTTAGATTTATATATCATGTGTACCACAGAACACGTCCACGTACACCTGTGCGATCACATTGGAATTTGGAAATATTTGTTGGGCCGGACAATTACTTCATCCAACAACTACAAGATCGAACGCAACATGTATACATCATCTGTGGTGGCCGATGGAGCTGAATGCTTTATGGTGTGTGCATGGGACAACCAGACAACTACATGCAGGTAGGAGGTAGCCCTTTTCAATGGGACCACTGCTGGCTGAACCGCCAGAATGAAGACCATGTTCCCTTTTGAGAAATTGTAAAGAGCGAGCTTAGATGGAAATGTGATATCTTCTTCCAAAAAATTTAAAGATGGAAATGCGCTATTGAATATTTTCTCGCAGCAAAGCCTTGAAGATAGAAGGTTGATAGTTGATTGTTGGCCAAAAAATATTTTTCTGTCCACCACTACAAAAATGAATCCCAAGTCTATGGGCTCCTGCACCAGGCAGTTGGGAGAGCAGGCCTCTGTAACCATGTCCGTGGTGACATCTGTATGAATAGGTTTTGGTAGTGCACATCCTCACACGATTGCTTGCTCCCATTTCCTGGTGATCGCCTACTTCAATTCCTGTGGCAGCTTGTTCCTGAATAAGATGAGGATAACTAATTCCTAGTGTTCTAGTACAAAAGTGTGCAGGGAACATCTACATGACTTCCTCGTTGCACTGCATCAGCTTCTGATCGGCTACATTGAGCAGGCTTGATGGGATCCAAGCCACAGGGTCGCGGGTGCCTTTATTAGCATTGGTCCCGCTTCACAGACAGTATACTTTGATTTTATCCTTGGTTCATATGACTAGTATGCTAATTAGTAATTAGAGTATTTTGCACGGTTGTCATGTGCAATTTAATTAATTAATTGAATGACTCTTGATGTCTTGCACATGTTGTCACATAGAGAAATGGCAATAAACACATTAATTGTTGGCTCATCGTCATTAATATATTTCATCACGTAGTGCCACAAGTAACCTACCGGCACGAGCCTCTATGGATATTTACGCTGGGGAATTCGTCATGGAAAGCTCAGCCAGTCAACTCTGAAAAAGAATGCCCAGAGAAAGAACAGCACCTTTGAAAAATCATTTCTAGTGGCAGACATCTTGATGCTATTCCACAAATGCTCTTCTCAAAGATTGTAGAATTAGGTGGCCCGTCTGCCGTCTTTGGAAATAAACCCAGAGGCTAGCTAGGCCACTGCCTCTAAAAATAATTTATTTACAGAGACAATGCCGTACAGTCTCGGCTGATAAGCCCATCCTAGAAGGCTAGAAACCGGTTTTTATAGTAGTGGTCAATAATAAATGCAAGAGGAAGAAAGCACCCCTAAGGCCCTAACCCCTAACCATTGAAACATTGGATGAACACCCGTAAAGCACTCTGAACTATTTTAGGGGGATAATTTGTCTGGTTTTGAAAATTAATAGGTAGGTTATCGATACTGTAATTGAGTTCGAGAATGTTTTTTAAAATTTAGCAACAAATTCAGGAAGACAAATCAGACTTTACTCGCTCAAAGATATCACGATCTTAGCTTAGAAATCATGTTTAGAACAACAAATCATTAAAAAGATTTTTGGCCCTCATTACAACGTACCGGCTTTCACCCAATGTTATGCTAAAATTATCAAAGACAACAGACTTCAAGCAACAAATAGAAGTGCCATATTCAGATCCACCCATGCTTCATGTCTTCAGGAATGGTGGAGCGGTGCTCACTCCAGATTTTATTTTCACCTAACTGGTTAGAAGTAACAGATGAGAACATATACGAAAATTTTGTAATAAATAAAATAACAGGGAGGTTTTATGCCAGTGTTTGACTATGCAGAGGAAGCAATGCTACCAATAGGAATGTGAAACACCCACATGAGGCATAGATTTCAGATGCTTCCAAGAGTCTATTTGGCATCATATCAAATGACAGCAGATGGTTCTTTCAAAGAAAAAAATTTGACAGCAGATGGTGAAGATCGTCCATCCATCAGAGAAAAACGACATATGGGTCCACCATATTGCACTAGTAGAGAAAAGACTTTCGGTTCAGCATATTAGTCCCGGTTAGAATTGGACCCGAGACTAACGTGAATGTTAGTCCCGGGTCAAGTTTCTTGATGTCAGAAGACCTTTAGTCCCGGTTAGTGCCAACCGGGACTAAAGAGCCTTGACCTTTAGTTCCAGTTGATAACACCAACCTGGACTGAAGGTCTCTCATCCGGGACTAAAGGTCTCTCACGGTAAATTCAAAATGAGAGCGCCTAGAACTTTGTCATATATTTTGTGCAATTGAGTTGGTAAGAAAACTACTGCGCGAGGCAAGAGGTCCTGGTTCAAATCTCATGCACCACAAGAGAGGTTTTCTAGGATATAATTTTTTTTTTGTCTCGAGGATGGGCTTTAGTCCCGGTTGTGCGACCCAGGACTAAAGGCCTGGATCCGCAATCTCGGTTGGAAAAACCAGGACTAAAGGCTGTTACCAACCAAGACTGAAGCCCATGTGTTTACTAGTGTTATCAACCATTAGCACACTATGATTTTTTTCTTCTTCTTTTCCTCTTCAGCTAAACTTATTTTGCCCCAAACACAGAGAAACTTAATGTCCATGTTTGATGAACCTACTTGGAAGTTATGTTTTTTTCTACAACACTAATCGAACATAAAACCGAACTCTTGATTGTCTACCATCCTGCACTTCATCACAAGGTAATATACTCACTCAATTATGTAAGTGACCCAAGTCACACAATAAGTTCTCATGTAAATCAAAGTTCTCATGTAAATCAAAGGCGTCCCACAGTTGCCATATAGTAGTAATAAGAATGAATTGTGAGGCCAATCATACTCAGAGCCTCAGAGGTTACTTAAAAATTGTCCACATACCAAGATCAAAATAGATTAATTTTACTATGTCCTTCAGTACTTGTTCATCTATAATCCACCCACCACTCGACACTCGTGACGGCACATGGTTATGAATCCATATTACAAAATTGGTTCCACGATTGAACCATTGAAATATGCACGGGAAACTACAGCTAGAAGATAAACATCTAGTTCTGTATGGATACTGAAACTAATGCACTTGACCACTAAAAGTCCATACTTTTTTTTGTTAATCAGCGTTTACGATGAAGCGGAACATCCTCTATTTTGGTTAATCTTGCCCGCTTGATGCAAATGGTATGTCGCAGGCTTGCAGCGAACATGTAAAAATGATGCTTTCTTTTACCCAAAGAAAAAAAATATAAAGAAACTAGAAACAGATCCTCGGCCACCGGCCCACCGTTCCCTTCTTCCTCCAGTGGACGGAGCCCGTCAGGTCCTCGTTGTCGGCGATCTGGTACCTGCTGCTCAGCTAAGTCTCCCTCTCCGAGGCATCCTCCGGAATGCCATGCGTGAAGCTCCTCGTCGGTCCAGTCGCCGAAGATGTTGAGGACGGGGCCGCGGCGGCGGAAGTTTTCCTTGAACACCGCGTACCGGTGCTCCTCCTCGCCGGTGGAGTTGTAGGTCTTGTTGCACTTGGCCATCCACTCCACGAACATCCGGTGGGTCTCCTCCTCCTCGCTCCTCTCCCAGTACGACATGATCGACATGTACGCCGCCGCCTTGAGAGCCGTCGAGCGCCTCATCATCTCCCAAAGAGGCAAAGACAGACAACGGTGGGTAAGTGGGGCGAGTAATAAATGATATATGTGGGCCTCGGATCTTTATGTGGAGAACGAGATGGAGAGTAGTGGGCCAAATTAGGCCTGCAAACGAACACGGGCTGTCCACACGCACAAGCCCGTTCATAGTTTTTGTTCCAAATAAAATTCTGGCTGGTGAAACAATGCTGACATGCATTGACTTGCGTTGCAAAATTTGGTGATAACTGTATAATTTACAGGGAAAACAAGCTGGCATAAAACAACATAGAGGGATAAACAGACTCAATTCGGCATGCAAAATGCAGTCAGGGTTCAGAGCAAGTTGCAGGTTTTTCATGCTAGAATGGTTACTCCGAATTCCCTTCCTTAAACACCTTTACCCACTTCTCAACACTGTCGATTACTTCACCGGTCTTGACCAGGTATCGGACCTTGGTCCCGTCCTCGAGGAATTTGTGGCCAACCCTGCTTGCCACACTCTTCTCCTTGGAGTAGAGCATCACATTTGAGCTATGAATGGGGCCTTCAATCTGGTCAAAGGAAATTTTTAAGTTTGATAAGGAGATAGCAATTAAGCACCTAAAACTACATATATGCTCTTGAAATCAGTATATGCAAAGCATCATGTGAGGCCCAAAAACAAGTTCAATAGAAATTTTGCTGACCATGACGATTTCACCGGGTTCATCATCTGTGCCTTTCTTGTGCTTCGACTTCAAGTTCAGGTCCTTCACAATCACCGTGCTGTTGTGCTTGAAAAGGCGTGTAACTTCTCCAACCTTTCCTTTCTCACGGCCTGCAATGACCTGTACCGTGTCCCCAATCCTAACATGCATCTTGTGCAGCACAGGAAGGCTGTTTGGTTTACACTTCTTTCGCTCCCATCTCTTAAGCTGCAGTGGAAAGTGAAATTTTAGGACATTTACATTATTGGATAAAAATGGATCAAATACTTGGATTAAGAATTTTTACTCACTCTCATTTCAATTGGGCATATCTTGACCATAAATCTTACCTGCATATTGAACATATTAAACGGCTTGTCAGAGCTTCACATGCTAAAGACATAAGATTCCATTTCAAATAAAAAAGACACTAATCAGATGCTTTTGAGATATGGCATGACTCAAACATAGTGGTCGTGGTTCACGTTGACCTGATCAAGACACAACACGATTCAGGGCTGCTCTTTATGATGTTTCTTTGAGTATAAGATATTCTTAAAATACAGTAGTTCTATCACTTCCTTCAACAATGATTACTTAACCTCACTGTCTAATCTTCACTTGCTTTTGCTGCTTAACAGAAAGGTTTGTCCTCTTCCAATTCTTATGAGTTAGGAATTTTCCAGGCACAAGTACATAGAGGTAAGACATAATGAAGATAACACAGAAAAGAAGGCAGGGCTCAAATACAAACAACATTATGCTCATAATACACTATTTGGCGCCAAATTGGTTTCGTCACATGTGACGTGGGGTGGATGTGAGGAAAAAAACATCTACAAGAAAATAAGAGTAAACATGAAAAGTACTGCCCTCAATCTTGAGCATATTTTGGCACAACAAAATATTTCAGGCATAAATATATAAACTAAAACAGTGGCACACCAGGGCAACAAAATTTCCTCAGTTGATGTTTTGACGTCTTTCAAAACAACATAATTTACTCAGTTAACATAACACATAAAGAGTGTTCGAACAACTTGTAGCCCATCCAACACAACATGCTCTATATTAGCAGTAAAAAGCACACATGTAGTTGTATACGCAAAAAGGGACAGTACCTGAGTTCCAATGACAAAGGAAATTGTCATATTTAAATTAATCTCAATCGTTTAATCTTTTTAGTATACTCAAACCTTATCATTTAAGCTTCGATACAAGATAAAAAAGAAGCTAGAGGAAATTCAATACACCTTGGTCTAAATTTTGTGGTGGTGGGGGTAAGGAAACTCACTGCAGCTAAGCTGCAATCCAAATATAGTCATACTAGTAAGCCTGGTTTCTCAACCTTGAAAATGCACAATTAATAAAAAACGCAAAATGTTGGTAATTTTCCATTTCATTGCATCCAATCCATGCAGACTAGCTCCAAAACCTCCAAATCACAATGCAAGCTGGAATGCCCCAAGAACAATTCCATCCAACCATGCTTTGCTACGCTATCCAGTTACTCCACACTAGAATATTGCGCCTAAACAGCTATTATTATCTACGAAACCATCACTCCATCAGAGCAGCAGAACGGAACGGAATTGGGAAGCAGGAACAGACCCCAGGCTGCGGCGCGGAGTAGGTGTCGAGCCGGTTGCCCCAGAAGCTGCTGGTGCTGGCCGCGCCGGGCGCGGAGACGGAGAGCGCCGCCATGGCGCCCTGCAGCGACGCCATCCCAGCCATCCTCTCGCCGCTCTCCTCTCCCTCTCTCACTGGACTCGCTCACCCCCAAACTGCTCACAGGATAACGCACACGCCTTCGTCGAGTTCGCCGGAAGAGGATAACGTGCTCTTCTATCTTCTGACACTTGTGGGCTGCATTATACATGGGCCTCGACACTAAATGGGCCAGGCCTCAGGTGAGGCGCAGATGGGCCTGAAAGACGCTTAGGTTATCCAGCGAGGCCCATGGGGTGCTCGTCTTCTCCCCCGCCGTGAGAGGCTGGGGCCTCGTCTCCGTCCAGCGAGCTACGCCGCACGCATCAGCGTCAGCATCGCTGCATCAGCCATCAGGGAGTTCAGGACGAGGACGGCGGGGGTCAAGGGTCTCTGTCTGCGTGTCTCCCCGCACGCCACGCGAGGCCACGCAAGATTGCTTACCCGGTAGATGCGTGCCCGCCTCCAGATCCCCCGTTCGAGCGCCGAGGCGCGCAAGCCACGCGACGGTTGCTGAGGCAAGCGAACCCCCTACTCTACTCTGTTCCACTCTACTCCACTGCACCTGTATCTTGTGAAGCTACTGAGTTTACTGCTGATGCCATGCCACTGCTGCTCTACGCATAGTTTTTTCACTTTCCTGTTGTGTAAAAGAAATCGCGTTATAGCGACAGTTTGGACGGTGGACGGGTGGAGGGTAGGTGGATAGCGGTGACATCGAAGCTTTGCGCTTTTGCTGCTGCAGGACCCATTCTACACAGAGAAAGGGTGGGATGTCATTTCTCTTGTGCGAATCATGGTTGCAAGTTCGATGTTTTTACCTAAGATTTCTTCAGAGACATTGGGTATATCTTTTCTCAAAGTGGACTACATTTGTTCCCCTCGTAGTCAATATGTCTTTCTTTGACTTTTAGGCCTGTTCGGCTTACCTTATAATCCACATTATTCAGCTTGTTTTTTCAGCCGGAAGCCAAGTTTCAGGAAGCCGAACAGGGGCCTTAATTTATGTGCATATCCTTAATCCTTGAATCATAGTAGGATATCCATGACACATCACATAGACAACACGTGCAGTGCAATACATCACTGGGCAGTTGGGCCTGTCTAAGCTGCAGTCAGGAACTCAGGATCACTATCCCCCAATCGCACCTATCACTGTCATCTAACTACCATCTGGGGAATCAGGAATGGTCCTGCCGTGCAAGCAAACCATCAACGTTCCCCATGGGATAAGCATGTGACTATGCAAATGTTTTGGGACAAATTGTACCTTATCATGGTTATAAGAATCTCGTATTTGTTTTCTCTTTCTCTCCTTTTCTATTCACCGCACACGTTGAGATCATTATACAAATCGTGACACAGAGTTTTGTTTTTATGTGGCGCTACCAAACAAAATGGATAAGGAAAGGTGTGGCTTTGTTCCGGGATAATTGCGATAGTTTCATTATCGTAGCTATCTGTTCCTCATGACCATAATAATGCTTTGCACTTTGATAATTTTGTAAGAAAAGAAAAGTCATGATCTAATAATAATTGATAAGGCCTTCTCATTATGTGGCTAACTGGTAAGGACTCAGCAATCCTCTTCCTCTCGAACTAAGGCATGGATGCTGGAGTGCTGGGCAAACCTCAATCTGATTGAATTTGTTGCACCCAAGCAAAGCTCTACTTGCTTGTGAACCTTCAGATGTGGACCCATTTTTTGATAGGTTTCGGAGCTGGGCATGTCAATTAGTTTCCTTCCCTTGTTGATTAATTGGCCACTGTGATAGAGATTTTGCACCCTATGGCCTCCACAAGAGTTATTTAGTAGAGACGCATGTTGGAAGGGCTTCCAAGACAAGTGAAGTTCACTAGCTCAGCATTCAGTTGCTTCCCACGCTTCACCAACTGAACAAGGTTTATATATATCATATGATCCTACCTTGTACTTATTCTTAGAATAAGGAAATTACTAGTCAGTGCAACCTACTGAAGGATACGCCATGGGTGTTCTGACACTGGTTCATATCCTTGTCAGCTTTGCTGCTTGTGCTGAAGCTCTAAGGAGGGCAGACTTCCCTCAAGGTTTTGTCTTTGGCACTGCTTCTTCAGCTTACCAGGTGTGACCTCTTTGATTTAAACCGTTGTGCTCTTAGTTTGATGTCTGATTCTGGTCAATATGTTATCAGTATGAAGGCGCTGTCAACGAGGGTCAACGTGGACCTACAATATGGGATACTCTCACAAGACGACCTGGTGAGATAATGAGGATTATGTTGCAAATAGTGCAGTAATGAGATGCTAATCTGTCCTGAATTGTGACTCAATTAGCATTTATGTTGCAGGTCGGGTGATAGATTTCAGCAATGCAGATGTTGCCGTTGATCACTACCATCGTTATAAGGTAACCTGTCAATTATTCATATATGCCTCTGTTATCTTCTGTTTGATTTAATTAATTCGATTGTTCTACTAAAGCTGGAAAATTCTGTTTCTTGAAAGCATAAAATCCCTCCATAAATGAATTTCTTGGCATTTTTGTTTGAAAAGTTGTCTACCTTTCATGTGGCCATCCTCTGGCAATTTTTAATTTGTAAGAATTGAAATCACATGTGTGTTTTATTGTTCCTTTCATGTCTGTAAGAATCATTCTATTTATTATTTTACATAATTATCCTACCTTCATCTTCTTCTAGTAATTTCCTCCTTTTTCTAGTGCTTTGACATTTTAGTTACCAAAAAAAAATGATAGTCCACTTCTCTGGCATGCTGCTGCCAAAAGTAGGATAGTGACCAGAGGTTTTCCTTAATATGAAGCGCCATTTGGATCAACGATAAAGTTTTCATACATAAAGATTTTACTATTTTCTCAAATTAGCCTAACCTCTATGACTAAGTAGTTAACTGAATAAGAATATTGGTTACACTGAATACTATCCAGAAACAACAAGCCTAACATTTGACTAGCAGGAAGATGTGGACTTGATTAAGGACATTGGCATGGATGCATACCGGTTCTCTATCTCATGGTCTCGTATCTTTCCAAGTATGCAATAAGAAATTTCTTTGTAAAATATGTTATTTTTCTTTTAGCACTAGATACTATGTAGTTTATCATTTTTCTTGCTAGATGGAACTGGTGAACCTAATGAAGAAGGATTGAATTACTATAACAGCCTCATAGATGTTCTATTAGACAAAGGTATTTCATATTCTAAATTTCTATGCGTTAAATCTGAATTGTTGCCAACTCTCAGCTTTTTATTATCTTTATTTGGTTTCCTCTATATTTGTGGGGTCAGGTATACAACCATATGTAACACTCTTTCACTGGGACCTTCCGCAAGCACTAGAAGACAGATATGGTGGATGGTTAAATTCCCAAATTGTGTAAGCAACTATTATATTGGTATTCTTTTTTAGGGTACCATCGCTTGCACTGTCTATATAGTATAAAACTAGATTGAGGGAAAGTGGTTTTATTGATGTTTGGCAGCTAAATTATGCAGGAATGATTTCGTTCACTTTGCCTCTACTTGCTTCAAGGAATTTGGAGATAGAGTGAAACACTGGATCACTTTCAATGAGCCCCATAATTTTGCGATTGATGGCTATGACTTTGGCATCCAGGCACCTGGGAGGTGTTCTATTCTGTCTCATATATTCTGTAGGGAGGGAAAATCGTCAACTGAACCGTATGTTGTAGCTCACAACATACTCTTAGCGCATGCTGGTGCTTTTCATTCTTATAAGCAGCATTTCAAGGTAATTTACTATAAACACATCCACGAGATGTATCAAAAAGTTAAAAAAAAAATGGTTTTATGTATTCAATGCAGAAAGAACAAGGAGGTATCGTAGGCATTGCACTTGATTCAAAGTGGTATGAACCATTGTCAGATGTTGATGAGGACACAGAGGCAGCAGCACGAGCAATGGACTTTGAGCTTGGATGGTGATACATCTACCACAATTTTTTGTATAACCACGTCATTTCAATTCCTGCGTAGTTGCAGTACATAGCTGTTGCTCATAATATTAATTATGAAATTTTCCAAGTGTGAATACAGGTTCCTGGATCCCTTAATGTTTGGCCACTATCCTCCTTCTATGCAAAAACTTGCAGGGGATAGGCTGCCTCAGTTTTCAACTCAGGCTTCGAAGTTAGTATCAGGCTCATTAGATTTTGTGGGCATAAACCACTATACCACATTGTATGTTAGGAACGACAGAATGCGGATCAGGAAACTTGTAATGAATGATGCTTCAACTGATGCTGTGATCATACCTACTGGTTAGTCATTTTAAACAAGTCTACCCCCATTTTTTCCCCTATTTTCAGTTACTGAACTCTCCTTTGTCTCCACTCTACAGCTTATAGACATGGAAAGAAAATAGGAGACACGGTACAATTTCCGCAGCTAACTTGTTCTACTTCTAGTTTCCATCCTCTAGTCATCAAATGTCAGATTGATAGCTGTGTCTTTCAACTTACAGGCAGCGTCAGGATGGCTGCACATAGTACCCTGGGGCATGTTCAAACTGATGAAGCACATCAAAGAAAAGTATGGAAATCCGCCAGTGATCATCACTGAAAACGGTGAGTGGCTAAAGAGATTCTACTATTAATAGCTGATAGAAGTTTCTGCCTCAAAAAAATCACTAGCATAAGAGGTTTAAATGGCAGGCATGGATGACGCGAACAATCGGTTTTCGAGACTGGAGAATGATCTGCAGGATGATAAACGGATACAGTACCACAACGACTACATGTCTAACCTCCTAGATGCAATAAGGTGAAGCTCCCACTTGCATGCCCATGCGTCTGACTGGAATAGCCAAAGCCAACGCTGTTCATCAGTAATACTTTGTTCTTGCCCCTGAACGGCTGTTGAATCTGAATCACTGCAGGAAGGAAGGCTGCAACGTCCACGGTTACTTCGTATGGTCACTGCTGGATAACTGGGAGTGGAACTCCGGGTACACGAAGCGGTTTGGACTCTACTACATTGACTACAACAACAACCTGACAAGGATACCCAAGGCGTCAGTGGAATGGTTCAGGCAGGTCTTGGCCCAGAAGATGGCTAATTTGGAGTACAGTGGTTCTACAGTAGCCATTAGCTAAGTGCTCCGTATATGACTACCATCTGTACAAGTGTACATGCATACATAGCTTTGGTCTTTGGATTAGATTGTGATTATTCTCGTTGTATATAGCCCACCATTTGGACGACCTTCAACCGCACAGTTTTTTTTTTTTTTGACCGAATCAGCAGGGGAATCCCTACCTATATTTTTTTTTCTTTTCAATTAAATGAAAGAATATAATGTACAAGGTACTGAAAGATTACAAGGCCTCTAGGCCCAAAACAAAAAGAGAGGAAACATTAAGAATAACTGTCTCTCCACTGATTGAGAAGAGCTTGTCTTGCTGGTTTAGCCTTGTGGCACACAAGGCCAAGTTCGTTCTTGAACTGCCTCTTCCAAGCACTGAGGTCAATCTGTCCACTGTCGAAAATGACTCCATTTCTGGTTGTCCATATAATCCAACATGCAGTGATAAAGATTTCTCTGAAGATGATGCTGCCGAAAGCTGTTCTGGCTTCAATCACCATATCTAGTGGCTGCAAATTCAAATTCCAGTCAATTGGAATGGTGTTCCAGCAAGACTTACTGAAGGCACATTCGAAGAAGAGGTGGAAGCTGGTTTCTTCATGTCCTTCATTACATAAAACACAGTTGTAATCCTCAAGTTCCCTGATCTTCCTCCTCAATAGATTCCTTGTATTCAATCTGTCTCTAATAAGTAACCCGAAGAAGAATTTATGCTTTCCAAGGTTGTTGGATACCCAAAGCCAGGAGAACAATGGGGATACCGCACAGTTGAATGTGTCGTTATGCTTGTTGTACATTGATTGATTGATGCTACAGAAATCAACGAGAATGAGATTGCAGCGTCACATCCTGTATGTTCATGGTACCACCAATGCTGAAATTTCAGTGAAGGGCAAAGGCTTTGCAGCATCCGGGGCATCGAGGTCAGAAATGGTCCCTCCCCTGAAATTCCCTGCACCAACTGTTCTGACTGACCTCCCCCTCTTTGTGTCTGAGGCGGGCGATGCGTAAAACCCATCGCAATTTCACACAGACGTGCCTGCCCTCTGTGGCCTGTCTGCCGGACATCTTTTCCCAGCAACTCAGCAAGCATGGCACTGCATCTCCGTTGCTTTTCCAGTGCCAGTCTGCAGCTGACCCCAAGTACCCAACCAAACGACTCGACAGAAGAGAAAACTGCACAGGAAGAAGGAATGGAAAATGTGGAGACCGAGGCGAGAGATGGGGAAAAGGGCAGGTAGGTACGGGTAAGCTGACTGTCCGTCGCGTCCGCATGGACCATGCTGTTTGCGAGCAAAAGAGGCGGTGGAAAACCCCCCAAAAAGCGGCGCCCAAGCTTCGAAGCCGGAATCCAAAGCTATTGTGGGGACGAACCGTACGAGATCCTCGTGCGGAAAGCTTTGCTTGCTTGCTAACCGTAACCGTAGCGAGCTGGACCGGAACAAAGCGGTTCAGAGTTTCAGACGCTGCCGGGATTTTTGTATAATACGGCGTCGGGCGTTCTTGAGTTCTGACTGAAGCTTCGACGGAAATTTTGTGTCTGAAAGTCAGCAGCAGCAGATGCTGTAGCTCACTCTTGCGACAGCACGGCTGCCACACGCCACCTATAAATGTCCATGCAGTCCGAGGCACGACGGCACAGCACGAAGCCCGCTTTTTTAGCCCGACACGAGCATAGCACGGCCCGGTGACGTGCGGGCTCGGGCTGGCCTGGCCCGAGAGAGCAGGCCGTGCCTGGGCCGCTGCTCAGGCCCATGGGCTGGCACGACACGACCCACAAATTAGTGAAAGGCCCGGTGTGGCCCGGTGCCAGAAATGGCCTGCTAAAGCCCATCCCACTCCATTCCATCCAAACACTAACTTTTCCACTGGAGTCCCCCACACGCCCTCCTCTCCCCCCACGCCGTCGTTCGTGGCATCCCCATCCCTATCTTCGGCGTTCTCCGTGTAGCCCACCGGGAATCGGTCATCGCCGTCGCTGGTCGCCGCCCCCACCTCCGCTTCGTGCAGGCCCGTGACGATGGAGAGGATCTCGGCGCCATGGTGGAGTCCAGTCCGGATCTCGGCAAAGAAGTGGAATCCGCCAGATCTCGGTGCACACGGAATCGGCGGCGGATCTCGGCCGCCCACCTCCGCTTATGCACCGAGAAGATGGATGGATCTTGGCAAAGAGTGGGAGGCACGGCGTGGGTGATGGAGCGACAACGGCGTGGTGGGCGGCCGGAAGAGATGACGAGAGGCGCCAGCAAAGGTGGGGCAGCAGGCGGAGGAGAAGACGAGCCCACGGTGACCCGGCGCCTCGACCTCGTCCTCCGTCCTCTCTCCTTCCCTGCTGATCACGGGCCTCGGGCTACTCACACCATAAAAAAGGCCGTGCTTTCGGGCCGGCCGGCCACGCGAAAAGTGCCCGACGCGGGCGTGCAGGCCGTCGGCTAGGCACGGATGATGGGCTGGGCGGCCTGACCCGGCGACCCGTCGTGCTCTACCGTGCCGTGCCCTACCGAGCCATGCCTGGCATGGGCCCATGCCGGGCCGGGCGGGGCGGCCCGAATGGTCATCTTTAGCGCCACCAAAAGTTGGGCAGGAAACTTCTTATGGATAATTAAGTAGAGTAGACAGATAAGTAAGACAGGTGCGGTTCACGAGACGTTAAGATAATCCAGGATCCGAGCTGGTGAGGTTCCTGCTCACTTGCTCGATCTGATCCAACTTTTCCTGGAGCCATCTCTAATCACATAGGAGTACCGAGATATCTCGCGTTAGAAAATATAGACAGGATCGCTTGCTACTCTACTCCGTCCACCCAATAACAATACAATTCTCACTTGTTGATAAGTCAAATAATTTCAAATTTAATTAAATCTAAAATACGAATGTTTATGCCAAATAAGTATAATTAGATTAATTATGAAATATATTTTTATGATAAATATATTTAAATATATAAATGTGGATAATATTTTCGATAAACTTAGTTTGATAAACTTAGTTAAACTTAAAACTTTAAGCTAGTTCAAATCTAAGACTTTCTCTCTATTTCAAACTACAAGGCATTTTGATTTTTAGATATATAACTTTGCTATGTACTTAGATATATACTATATTTAGATATATAGTAAAATAATGTATATAGAAAAGTCACAATATTTTATAAGATACTAGAATGGAGGGAGTATTTGTTTTTAGAACGGAGGGAAGAAATAGATATCAGGAACCCCTTGCTAGGAAGCACAGTAGTACTGTGAAACATGAAGCACAGACCTTTCCAATCAAATATGCACAAATCCTGTGCGCTTCACTTTTTTTTAGTTATAATAGACAGTTACACTTACACGCAAAGCAACACAGTGTAGGAGCACAAAACTTCCCAAACATCAAACACACACGAATCCAGTGTGCTTCATTACCTTTTGGTATACTCCCCAGTCCCCCGTCTCTGGAAGAATAGATTTCTAGCTGAAACTTTATCTTAAAATAAATCAATTTCTATGTCCTCACCATTCATCAAACGCGCATTTATTTTCTCGGAGTTTTCAGCAGTCAACATAGACATTTATTCCTCCTCGACATCATTCTCCAATGGTTAATGTAATGGGTGCAACAACATTTACAAAATGGGTTTAGTGCAACAACATTTAATATGATAAACTAATTGGAAAATTACGAGACACGTTTTGGCCTAAACTTATTGCTTCTGCTTCTCGCTCTCTAAACAAGGGCTTAATAACTGAAACAGTACCGTTTCTGCTTCTTAAACTGATCAGTACCGCAAGTTAAGAAGGGGTAGTAACGTATTTTCTTTTGTTTGCTAATTTGTCCTAAATTTGCTAGAAGAAATATATTTTTCAAGGACCCAAGGGTGCTACGGTGCCATGGAGCTGGAACAGCGTCAGAGAGCAAGATATCACCGTGACAGTTACTGCGAGTACCAATCATCTGGACGCTCGGACCGGATCTCCCGTGGACGGCCCCAGAAGGTACGCGCCACAATAAATATCTTTCCACATCTCTGTGCGTGGATAACGTACGGTACGGTAACAACAATCGGCGTCCGTATATGACACGCCACGCGCAAAAGTACCCGTTTTCCGTCACACCACACGGCGAAGCGAGCCCGCGCGGAGGGGAGGGCGAACCGCCGAAGCGCGCGGTCCGCCCGTCCGCCGTCCAGCCCAGGGCCAGCCAACCCAACGCCCGGCCAACCTGTCCCGGTCGGTGCGGTGCGTGTCCGCCTGCCCCTGCCCCTGCCTGGCCCTCTCGTCAGCCAGAGCCACCCCGCGCGAACCAACCGGGGCGCGTCGGGTATCAATCGCTCGATCCGCAGTGCGGGCAGCGGCACACGTGACCCCCGCCCCCGCGTCCCGCGTCCCGCGTGGCCACGGCGGCCCCGCGGCAGGGCAGGCACCTTCCCTGAAGCCCCGGCCAGGCAGCAGGCGCCAGCTGTCCCCGTCCCCCGCCTATTTATCATCCCCCTCCCATCCCCCTCCATCCATCATCGTCGTCCTCCTCTTCTTCCACACCGAGCCAGAACAAGCAGCCGCCACCGGAGCTCACAGAATCACAATCAGCAGCAGCAGCCGCACCGAGAGTCCATCCACCTTCTACAATCTACACACATGGCGTCACAGCAACAGCAGCAGAGGCAGCAGGCGGGAGCGGCGGCGGCGGCGTCCTCGGCCGCGGCCGTGGACTTCGAGGACTACCTGCCGGTGATGGCGGAGCGGCTGGGCGAGGACGGGCTGATGCGGGAGCTGGCGAGCGGGTTCCGCCTGCTCATGGACCCGGCGCGGGGGCTCATCACCTTCGACAGCCTCCGCCGCAACGCGCCGCTGCTGGGGCTGGGCGGCATGTCCGACGACGACCTCCGCGGGATGCTCGCCGAGGGCGACTTCGACGGCGACGGCGCGCTCAGCGAGATGGAGTTCTGCGTGCTCATGGTGCGCCTCAGCCCCGAGCTCATGGACGAGCCCCGCAGGTGGCTCGACGACGCCGTCGACCAGGCGTCCCGCTTCCTCTTCACCAGCTGATCGGTCGGTCGAGATGGATAGGAACCCAAATTAATTGTGGACGTCGTCTTCACTTTTTTTTTTTAAATTCTTCTTCTTCTTGCCGTTGTTCATAGCTGGATCATCAGGCAGGGATGGACTGCTGATTGGTCGATGGATTTCCATCCATGTGTACTCATCTGCTGTTCCTTCTTCCTTCCTTGCCATTTCCCAATGGAGTCTGAATTAATTAATTAATTAACATAACATGCTTCCCCTTCTGACCATCACATTGACACGGAGCACATTGCTTCTCTGCTGCTTATAATCGAGCTTAGCATTGGGTACAGAGGAAATTCTCCGGACCTTTTGGCAACACGGCTGCGAATGGTGTGCTAACTATGCGGTTTCCAGTTTCTCTACTCCTGTTTCGTAGGAAAACAAGAAGAAAAAAAGAGGATTTTTTTTTTGGGCACAACAAATCAGATTGGGTCGAGATGGATATGGATCAGTATGATGTAGTACGTTGTACGATCTTGCATTCAGCTACGACCCCCAAGCCATTCTTGAACAGTAGCGGCAGTTTCGGTTGACCTTATGCCGTGATGCGCACAACCAAAAGGAAATGGAGGCGGCACAGAAGCACTTGTTTGGTCAAAGCCTCAAGCGTTAGCAGCCAGGACGTAGCCAGTGTCCAGTGCTGCCCGAGATCACGTCAGCGTCAGCGAGCGGGACCGCGCAGCCGAGTGCTTCTCGCAGGAAGGGCGTTTGACGAGGAAAGGGGAAAGAAAAAGAGGTTTTTATCGTGTGTTATTAAAAAAGTTTATAATTACATATAAGTTATTAAAAAAGTTGAGCTCCTATGAGTGCTATCGTTTTGGACTTCTTTGCTATCCAAGCCATTTTATCCGCATTCCGTTTGTTTTTCACCGTTTTAGAGTCCTGACAAGTGAGACCGGTCAATTAAATTGTCCATGCTGCCCCTCAGTTTTCTCTCTGTGTGTTCCTCCTTGTCTTCTTCCCTCATGACGACCACGACGCCCTCCTCAGACCGCAGCAGCGCTTTTGCGCGTCGTCGAGACACCGCGTCCGGTGGCCCGACCAGACCCCGGCACCTCCAGGCCTCGGCCTGTCTCGTCTTGGTTGGCAGTTTCTTCTCGTCGTGGCTCTCGCCGCCGCCCCCTACGCCGAGGCTTCGCCCGCGCGCCGTCCCACGGTGGTGGGCTAGAGCTCACGCAGTCTTGCTGGCGGGCGGAGCTCACCTCCTCGCGTCACCTCCATGCGCTGCCGCGCAGATCCACGCCGAGGACCGATGCAGCATCTCCATGCGCGCCGCCTCCTAGCTCTCGCCGTCGCCGTTGGGGACGCAGGCCGCCTCCACCTGCACGGGGGCCCTCGCCGCCGCCGTCGCCGGGGGGCTCGTGTCGGTGTCTGGCGCCGGCCCACACCGGCGAGTGGGAACACTGCATGCGGTGAGCCAGTCCGCATGGTGGTGGATCGAGGCGGGTCCGCCCTCGCATCTTCGTCTTCGGCCTCACCATGCCCAACGGCCTGCTTGCGTCGCCATCGTTGAGAAGGTGGAGGACTTCATGGTGGGCACGCTGCCGCCGCTTTCTTCGCCATGAGCGGCGCTCTCACGGACACCGCCAAGATCACCAAAGACGCCTGCCCGCAGTGTTGCCGATGGTGGCCGCTCGGCGCGGCCATCCTCAAGGTGGCCGCCGCCGTCGGCCGCCGCCACCGTGTTCGGGGCAACATGGCGCGCGCGGGCGAGCTTCGGCCCGGCCGGCCACATGCATGGCGTGGGCAAGCTCATACACACACACGCACGAGAAGAGAGATCGAGTTTGAGAGAGAGAGGATAGGGATGAGACGGGTATTATGGGCGTTTTGACTGACCTGACCCACTTGTCAGGACTCCCAAACGGTGAAAAACGAACGGAATGCGGATGGAATAGCTTGGAGAGTAAAGAAGTTCAGAATAATGGCACTCGCGGGAGCTCAACTTTTTTAATGACTTATGCGTAATTACAAACTTTTTTAATGGCACGCGGGTAAAAGCCCGGGGAGACGGCCAGTTGGACACGGCGGAACCAAGCAGGGGAGACGGCCGTGAGTGCTGATCACTTTCTCGGTGTGTTTACTCGGTCCGCACCAACGTCCTCGTCACGAAACGGAACGGAAGCCGTCCCCGGTGGCCTGGTTTCGTTTCGTCGTCCTTTTGTTTGACAGGAACTGGAACTCTCTCACGTCGGAGCCGCTTTTCGTCTGCCTTTTTTTTTTATGACAACACGTCTGCCTTTTGTTAGTATACACGTTCTTGGGCTGACGCGATGAGTCGCATGTAAGCTGGAGCGGGAGCTTCCGGAAAGGTGGCCGGAAGCTTCAAAAGCGATGCTCGAGGGGTACGGGGCCACGGGGACCCGAGGAAGGAAAGCAGCCGAAAGCGACGTGCCCTCGAGGCGTTTCTCTCTTTTCCCTCCTCCTCCTCGGTTCCAGGTCAGCGTCCAAGCCTCCAGCTCTCCACGTCAGTGACGTCACCGCTGCGATTCGCCCGATCCACGCACCGCCTGGAGTCTGGACCATGGCGGCGTCGGCAGCAGCAACCTCTGGTCCACTGCCGTGCCCGATCGCCTATCCGGCCTGAGCTGAGCCTCGCACCCAATTTCCCGGGCTGACTCTTACCGTTTCCTGGGCGCCGTACGGTACCTCTTCCACTGTTATGGTGCGTCTGCGTCCGCGCCGGCCGCCGGCTGGGCTGAAACCGATGTGACTGGTGCCGCGTCGTCACGATGCAACCAACGCCCGGCGTCATCAAGTCGGGCCGCCGGGACAGTCTGATCTGAATCTGACAGAGATGCATGAACCAGCGGTCGGTCTCGCCGTCCCGTTTCTCTCGCCGCCCTTGTTCAGTGCACGCGCAGGCGCCTCGTCGATCTGGTTGGCACCATAACAAATCATTGGGGGCTTCTCGGATCTGTCAAACTCCAACACGTAGTAATCTCTGCACAGTCGCTGGTTCATCGAACTGGCCCGATGCACGTACGAGCGCCAGATTCTTGGTTCCGTTCTGATGGAAATCCAGATTCTTGGTTCCATTCTGATGGAAAATACCCCATGTTCGCTGGTTGGTTTCTGGGCTGGTTTGAGCTGGCTGGTGCTGGTTTGTTGTGAGAGAAAAACACTGTTGACTGATTGGTTTGGGCTGCATGAAACCAACAAGCGAACAGGCTGACAAATCGTTGAGTAAGATTCTTTGGTACTCCTACTCGAGATGCTAGCCGATGCGCCGGGCGCGAACTGTAAGCCAGATGCCAGATCACGGCCAAGCTGTAACCTTCGTGCCTGCCTCTCGTAGCTTCTTTTGTCTAGTGCCATTTGCAGCACGTTGATCCGCCCCATGCCACCAGACGGACGACGCAGTAGCATTAACAAACCCGTGATTGCCGCTGAGCTGTACGCGCACGAACGCACGCAAGAAGAAGAGGTCTCTTGTGATCGGCAACGGCAACCACCGGTAGTGTAGCGGCAGCCGTAGCACATTCAGCTGCGTCTGCAAAAAAACAAACCCCGCCTTGTCGCGTGCTGCGCCATGGATTCGCAGCACGCTTGTCTCCCCTGCCGCCCGCGACGACGGCACGATGGCAGCGGCATCCCCGCCGGGTCCGGCGGGCCGCATCAGGGGGCGATTCCGTGTGCGCTCGCCGAGGCGCGCGGGGCGCCAACTGCCCGGCCACGGCTGGTCGTCTCGTCTGGTCAATCCGATGCGCACGCTGGTCTCGTGTCTCGTCTCCGTCGCCCCGCCCGGCCGATCGATCTGAAGCTCTGCCCACGCGATCGATCCGTCGACGCATGCTGCATGCACACGTGAGGCTCGCGAGTCAGATGGGAGCCGGTGCTACGAGCGTGACAGTTGCCTGGCGATCCTGATGAGCTGTCCCCTCCACACCCACCGCGCGGTCGCGGAGGGCCGGGGGAGAAGGCACAGCTAGCTGTGCAGGTGGCAGCGGCAGGACGCATTATTCTGGGCGCGCGCCGGCTTCTCGGATTCTTCTTCTGCCGACGTGCCGGGCGTCGCCATGTGTGTGCTCGTGCTGCTGCTGATCCTGTGACTACGCATGTTGCCGTTGTTTAATCCTGCGGTGGCGCTGGATCGCCAGCTTCGTATGGTTTCCAACTGCGTGCGTGTGGGCATGCAGACGTCATCGCAGCTACTTCTAGATCGCGTCTCCGTGTCCCTGGTGCTGTTCTCTGAATCCGGATCGGTACTGCCAGTCCAGTAAACAAGGATGTTGCTGTCGAGTGTCGACACCTCGCCTTGTCAATATTTTTCTCTAAAAAAAAATAGTATTAGTCGGCTTATCAGCCGCAGAAATCATCAGCCAACGTCGAGCAATAATACTACAGCAGCAAGTTGAGCACTGGCCGCCGCCGGTGACGTTTCAGTCGCTGTCAAAATTTGTCACCTGATCAGTAGCAGCTGGTGCTCTGCCGTGCAACTTGCGCTCGCCTGCGTGCCGTAGCTTCCTGCCAGCTGACCGCCAACGCTGCTGCCAGAGCTGTGAGGATGATGAAATGAAAGCAACCGGCAAAGACGACAGCAGCGTGCTCCCTCCCTGCTATAGATGGGCAACGGGCCGGCCCGATGGTGGTCGGGCCAACAAGGCACGCCGTGCCCTGCGGGCCGTGCCTCTCAGGCAAGCAGGCCTGGCCTTCGGCCCAAGCACGGCACTATGGGCTGTTTTTCGTGGCGGGCCGGCCCGAAAAGCCTGGCCAAAATGACATGCCGGGCTAGCCCGAAGCCCGCCCCATGCCAGCAGAGAGAGAGAGAGAGAGAGAGAGCGTCGGAGAGGGAAGGGGAGGCCGGGAGCGCAAGGGCAGCCGCGGGAGGTGTTTGCGGCCGCCGACGCGCTCGCAGACGACTTGGTGGCCGGATCCGCAGAGGCGAGGGATGGGGAGGCCGGATTCGTGGAGGACGAAGCCACCGTGCCCGTGCTCGAAGCGCTTCGCGGAGGAGGCGGCCAGCTGCGCGGGAGAGCACG